TTGCCCCAGATAGGTGAGAATTGGGATAGTGCTGGCGTTTCATTTTTAAACTTGAGTGCGTCGAACCAGACACGGATGGTATTTTTAACAAAGAGGTTTGGTGTATCTTTCATCAGATCTTTATACTTTGCGGAGCTGCTTTGGTGTTAATAAAAACAACAGGTGCACTAGAGGGGTAGCAATGAGACAACCCCCAAAACAGGAACGGTTTCACAGGTGGAGGACACTGAGATTTTTTCCTCCTCGTCTTTTCTGACTTTTTTTTTTTCACTAGTTTTGCATTTGGCTACAGTCAGTGTTACTACTGGTAGCATGAGGCGATACCTGGATCCTGCAGAGGTTGCACAGATAGTCTTCCAGGATGGCACATCAATTTGTGCCACTGCCAGAACATTTCTCCCGGCACAGATTCAAAAGCATGAAGGAGATTCCAGGAGAGCTGGACAGGGCTGTAGAAGGTCCTTAACACATGAGCAGGACCGGTATCTGCTCATTTGTGCAAGGAGGGCCAGCATGACCTCCAGCAGGTTACTGGTGTGAATGTCTCTGACCAAACAATCAAAAACAGGGCCTGGCATCCTCTAGTGGACTCTGTGCTCACTGACCTCTGTCCAGGAGCTCAGTGATGCTCTGGTCAAGATATGGGAGGAGATCCTCCAGGACGCCATCCATCCTGTCATTAGGAGAATGCTCCGATGTTGTCGGCATGCATACAAACTTATGGAGGTCATACAGACTGTTGAGTATTAATTTTGAGTTGCTACAATGAAATTTTGGCAAAATGGACTAGCCTGCCACATCATTCTTGCACTTTAGGTAGGTTGATCATTTTCATTTCCATAAAACGATGCTCTATCCTTTTGTTCCTAACACATTATCAGTCCATATTAATATAGATATTCACTGAGACCTGATGTTCTTTAATTCATTTATTTATTTATTTTTGTGCAGTGTAGTATCCTAAAACTTTGTGTATTTCACTTTTATATGTCAAAAACACTTGTAGGCACAGCAAGTGATGCGTTTCCAGTGTTCAAAATTGACCTCATGGAAACCTCTCGTCTTGTCTCCAGCTGCAGTAAACTTAGTTCTTGGTTACCAACTATGGTGCAGCTGGTAGTCATTTCAGGTTTTTTACTAGATTGGCAAGAAGACACCTTCAAGCGGCATTAAGTCACTGAAGAGGGAAGAATTGTTTTCGTCTCCAGTGTTGGTGGGAGTTCATTTTGCCCTACCTCTATCAGTATTTACACTAAAAGTTCTTCTTTAACAGGATGAAGAAGAACAGGAAGAGGCAGCCAATCAGAAGACAGCACTACAGAAGGCAAAGGAGGTGGCAGAGGTCAGCCCTCTGTCAGCTGCCAACCTGTCTATTGCTGCGTGAGTTGACACATTTACACAGATAACCCTCAAAAATGTGAGTACATTCAAAACACTGCACATAAAATCCATCATGTGGCTGCAGTGACAAAGAGGCACAATCCCACGTGCGATGTTTTTTTCTTTTCTTCCAGGACTGTCTTTCGTAACATTTGTGATTGGCAGGCATTCATTTGCACACAACACACACACACACAGTCACCATCACACTCTCACTGTTCTCTAAAACACGATAAAGCGATTGTTCTGAGAGTGAAAGGAACAGATTCAGGGCTTTGTGAAGGGAAGAAGAGCGAGAGGCGGACAGTCTGTAGAATCTTCTCCTGGCAGCAGAAACACTGACAATAGTATACATGAGAATGTTGCTCAAATAAACTCACTGCTCCTTTGGAAGTCACTGGACTTTTTAGTCGCTGTGGCTCACTGAGCCTGTGCTGAGAAGATTTGGTGCTGGTAAATTTGTGTTGGAGAGATGGTCATCAGTCACAGGTGAAGATAATTCCTTCATAAAACTGCTCACAACATGGTCTGATTAATTTCTGAAAAAAACTCCAATCTTATTTTATTTGTTGTTTTCAGTAATAATGAGGCAAGTAAGATGCATTTCTTTTATTCAAACCAGTATCAGCCAAGCTGCAAAGCTCTTACCTAAACAGTCTACATGAATAAATAAGAACATACATAAAGTCATACATGTAATTGGATTTTCCCTTTAAGGATGTTAGGAGAAAAACCTCAGGAAGCAAAGAATCACGGGCCCAGAGTTAATTCATGTACATGGGCGATTCCTGAGCACGATCTGTCAACTACAGAGTCGTGCAGAAATGCGCGCCGAGCATCTGCTCAAACTTTATTATATACTGTCTTATCTTGCATAACACTCATGGGTGGAGTACAAGTTAAGGAAAAAACAACTTCTTATCTGGTGATTGCATACGAGGCTGCACAGGGTGCAGCCTTGCAAGACAAAGATGAACAAGTTGATTAACGATCTTGTAGTGGGTGTTGTCTAAACTTGAGCAACTTCTTCATGTGGTCACTTTGTTCCAGTTAAAGAAATGCTGACACGCTATGTACAGGCATTACTGCGAAATTCAAACAACGCTAAACATAAGCAATTATCACAGTTGAATATTAATAAAATTCAAAATCTTTTAACAAAGGATGAACCGTTTTTACATTACTGCTACTGATGTGTGGCTAAATGTCAGTGGGTTTGTCCTCAAGTGTCTAATCCTTCTTTTCCTTTTTCTTTCTCACTTACTCATTACCATCTCTTTCCCCATAACACCTCTGACAACAATACAATGACACCAATTTCCTTGCTTATTCATTCTTCAACATCTTCACTTTATCTCCACCTCGTCCTCCTGCCTTACCTGAAACCACTCACATCTGCCTTTCTTTTATTTTACTACACCCTCTCATGTTTCCCCTCCATCTTCGCCGTAACTAAAACTCCTTTTCTCCTGCCTAACATCCCCTCATTTCCCCCAACAGTAAGGAGCAGCAAAAGAACCACACCAAGGGAAATAAGTCGGTGTGGGAGCAGAGAACAAGTGAGATTCGCCGACAGAACCTAATGACGAGCCGCGAGGCGCTCTACAATGAGCTGGAGCAGGAAGACTGGAAGGTGGGAGTCGAGGGAGAAGAGGTGAGGTGTTCCCCCCACTAAGAAAAAACACATATACACATATATATACAGTCTAATCCTGATATATATGGTAAATATTTGTTGTAATGTGTGTAAAGCAATCTGTAACCACCTTAAAGGGATATTAACACCACTTCTTTTTGAATGGATGACTCTTGGAGGACACTTGTGACACATGTATTAACATGTAACATGACATTGAAAATCATCTATTGAAAGGTCAAAAACATTGTATCAGAA